TGGTGGCCCAAAAGCCCTTTCCTGTGGGCTGGGAGCAGCAGGAGGGATGGTGGCTGGGAAGCCCCTTCCTCTGGTCCAGGAGCAGTGGGATGGCGGCTCAGAAGCCCCTACCTCTGGGCTGGGAGCCTTGGGAAGGATGGTGGCCTGGAAGCCCCTTCCTCTGGGCCAGGTGCAGTGGGACAGAAGGTGGCCCAAAAGCCCTTTCCTCTGGGCTGGGAGCAGCGGGAGGGATGGTGGCCGGGAAGCCCCTTCCTCTGGACCAGGTGGGATGGCAGCTCAGTAGCCCCTACTTCTGGGCCAGGAGCAGCAGGACTCAGTACTGTGGTCTGGTGGTCCTGTGTCCTCTGCGTCTTTATAGTGTGGAACCAGGTGGCTGTACAGAGGAGCAGGGGAAGGGGTCCAGTGGATTGTTGCCGGGGCACGGGCTGATTCGGTGTGTTCTGAGTGACTGGGGACCTTGGCATGGTAGGGCGTGTGCAGATCTGCCTGTCTGCAGTGGGCTGATTCGGTGTCTTGTGTGCGACTCGGGACCTTGGTATGGCATGCACAGACCTGCTTGTCTGCAGCAGGCTGACTTGGCATCTTCCCTGTGACTGGGGACCTCAGTAGGGCGTGCACAGACCTGCCTGTCTGCAGCGGGCTGATTCGGCGTCTTCAGCACGACCTCCCATGCTTCTTCTCACCCTACATACTTGAATCCATTTTTGTCTTTAAATTACTACCTAATCCGTACCGTGTTTCAGATTGTTTTCTGGGTTTCAGGTTTGTATACTCAGTTGCCTATTAACCTCCACGTTTGGATTCCTTCAGATGCTTTTGAACTCAACCCACTAAAAATGAAGCTCATCTTTGGCTGCTTCCTTTCCTGCCTTCTTGCTCCTGTCATTTCTACACCCAGTCATTGCTGCTAATTTTACTTTTTAAATATTTCTAAAAATCTTTGCCCTGTTCTCATTGTCTCTTGCCTGGGCTGCTTCAGAAGCATCCTGACTAGTTTTCTAATTGCTGACTTATTCTTCTCAAATCTACCATCAATTTAACCTTTAAAGTGAGCTATTTAGATATAAGTCATCTCCAAGAGGTCAAGGGCATCTTTCTTTTCTATACTCCAACACCTGTTTTATTGCAGGCACTCCATACAAATTGGAATAAATGAAGGAATTTATCCAAAATGCATAGATAACCAAGTGTCTGCTCTGCTTGCAAAAAACTCTTCAGGGACTTTTCATCATCTCTAGATGATTTGACATCATCTTCATCTCTGGCCCCCATTTATACTCTCTCAATCCTGAGCTTCTTTCAAACTCACAACTTTGAAATTCTGCATCTTACTTCCATGGCCTGCTCATGTGAACTCCCTCTATCTGTTAAGCTGTTTTTCTCTCACGCTTGTTAGCTATTACACCTTTTAAGATCCTGCTTAGGTATCACCCCTTCCAGCCTTTTCTGGTTCCTTGCTAGATCCCTGCAATTGGTCTGAGTTAAGTAGCCCTTCTTTGTTCCCACAACTCCTTTACTATACCATTCGTACTTTCCACACTGTACCATAATGATTTGTTTATGTGTTTATGCCATTTGTCTGTGATTTCATGCAGCTATTCATCTTTGCATCTCTAGCTCTTTAAACCATGCCTAGAATTTAATAGAATCACAGGGTTTGTGAAAAAAGAAGAAAAATATTTGAATGATTGCAGGAGACTGACTATTCCTTTGAAAAATGATATTATCACAATTTTTGGTTTCTTGCTTTTCTACTTTAGCATTTCACTGGTTGCCTAGGAAAATAACCTAGTAATAGGTGCTATATTTAATAACTCCTAGTTTCTAAGTAAAGAAATTTATATCTTTATTTTTATACCCTTGTATATTATAAATGAATAATCCTTGTTTAGGTATATTTATTAACTTCCTAAAAACCTTGTTCCTTGCTGATCTTTTGGTTAGTACATAGTGATTGAAGACAATCTTGTACTATAATGGAGAATTTAAGTGTCTAAAAAAACTTACAGAAACATATGAGTTTTCCATTTAAGAACAAAGTTGTCTATCTGTAACAACATAGTGTTGGACACTATGGCCAAACAGTATATTGGGGCCTTAGGGAATGGAGAGGGGTAAAAAGGCCATGGGTTGGGTGGGCCATGTCTAGGAGAACCAACTTGGCCATGTGTTCTTATCAGAGTATTTAGAAGCCAAAATACCATTCTTACCTTACCTGGGCCACTGAGACAATGTGGGTAATAAGTGGGGTGTGTATGGGACTGGTAGGGTTTTTCTAAAGAGTAGCAGTACTCAATTGAGAGTAAATTAAGCCTTTATACTTCTCTCTGTTTTCATTTCCCTGTTTGCAACTCTTATTGTTGAGCATGGCACATGGTATTGATATAACTCATTTACTTATATCTTCTCTTTGAAGTTAGGAAACCCATGGATACACATTTTGCTGTTTTCATTTTGCCACTGTCTAATAATTTACATGTGGTTAATGAGTGAACAAGTAAAAGAATGTGAGCATTGTTTGTGTTGTGTGTGGAGAGCACAGTATGGTGTTGTTGGGATTTTAGTAGAGGAATTTATCTAATTGAAATTGCATTTTTGCCACACTGGGAGGATTGTTGAAGGTGAAGTGACTACATATAGCCAGAATGGCTGGTTTCAGAGGCTGCAGGGTGGAGCCTGCAGAGTCCTAATGGCATGAGCAAACATGGAATGGAGACCTGAAGCTTGGGATGTGTGTGCCAATAGGCCTTTAGCTCAGGAATAAAAGTGCAGCAATATGCCACAAGACTGTATGCCCTGGTAGAGCTGGGGGCTTCTGCATATTTTGGCAGGATCAGTTGGAATTGGCTTAGGGTAGGAGGTGGCCATGTAAACAGGCTTCCCTGGTACTGCTGAGTAGAGTTGGAGATGGCTCAGAATCTCATGTTCAGGAAATGAAGGTCTGGTGTCCTTGTGTGTATGTTTTGTCATTGGAGTTCATCTTAGCAGTATTTCTCCTTTGTCACTTTGGCAGTGTTGAGGATAAATTTAATCTCAAAAAGTGATAAAAATGGATAGATTGGTCAATCAACTCTGCTGGCTGGCAGTCATGGCATTATATGTAGCCTTGAGGATATTTTCTGTGGTAGGTCGAGGAACTGCTGAGCTTATTAAAAAATGAACGGTCTTTTCTCTCAAAGAACCATGAGTAGGTTGATTTTTGCTAGTGTGTTTTGAGTAGGGGCAGCTTTATCTGAAGTAGATTGCCCTTGGTTCAAATGTGGCTTCTCTTCCTCACTGATTGTATAGCCGTGGCCAAGTTCTTAGCCTCTCAGAGCCCCCATAGGAGGAGGAAGGGTGTTAAGAAGGAGTAAGAGTGACTACTGGCAAGGTTGTTTGACGATTACTGCTAAGGCCCTCATGGTTCCTGGTAGTAGGGCTGGCAAAGGGCAGGAACCCTTTCACCTGTAGCAGTTACCGCTACACCTCTCAGGAAAGCACAAAGGCCTTTTCTGATAAAGAGGAAACGACTGACTCCCTGCAATTTGTTCTCTTGCTGGTTTTACTAAGAAAGGATGACAAGTGGCGGGGCATTTGCTGTTAGCACGGCACACCTGACTGCAAGACATGACTTACTCAACGGATAGGAGAGATCTGCTTTCCCTGATTTGTTTTTCACCTTTAGTAACAGCTGTATAGTTTCTGAGCAATATGCTCCATTTTTACAAACATTTCAAAAGCTTCCAGTGAGATCATCTTACATGCAAGAATATTTAAAACTGATTATAGTTTCGGGGGAGTATTTTTCATTCTTGCATAAACCATAGTTTTCAATTATTTCGGCATCACTATACATATTATAGGTCTGGATAGAGGTACTGGATGATTTCATTATGTCACACACCATTTGCTTTTGGAGGGGCTTTTTAGGGGGTAATATAATAAGATTTAAGCCATTCTCTTTTTGTTTATTGGAAGATATGCTTTTTATCTATCCATTAGGAAGTCTTGAAAACTCACAAATTTTGAATAAATAGATGCAAAACTATTACATCTCTTTACAGCTACTCTGACTTGTAGATAAGCTGTAGCATATTTAAAAATTCTTGATAGGGGAAAAAAAAAGAATCCTGGACATTTTAATTTCTACTGTTATTGGCCAGGTGTGATGGGTATTATCTGAAGAAGTATATGGTAAGTGGAGGTTATTTTTATCTTTGAAAATTATGTTTTATTAATACACGTCTTTCTTAGTAAATGAGGAAAATATATTTACAATTGATCAAAATCTTAAGGTTTATTTTCTCATATTTTAATGTCACTTCTAATTTTTCCATAAGCATTTAGTCCTGACACTACAAGTGAAAAATGTAATGAATGTGTGCACAAGAGACTTTCTGATTCTTGCCTTGGGCAGAATTAGTTAATGATATTCATTCAGATATAGCATGGTACAAATGGGGCATATTAAGAGGTTTAAAGTAGGTCAAATTGAATAATTGAATTTTTTTCTTTACTTAAAAAACAGCTTAATCAGCTGAGAGTGCTGAAATCTTAAAAAAAGGGTTTAACTAAATATTAGTAGGGAGTTCATATTTGCAACTTTATCTTCATTTACAATGATTGTGTGTGTTTCCTTCCTCCCTTGTTACCTTTTATAGATACTCGGAGATGAAGTTCAGCCCTTTTCACTTGATGAAGACTTTGATTATGACAGTGTGACTCTCACTCCCAAGTTCACGTCTGCAGAGATAGAGACCATCAAGGAGCTATTGAAGCAAGAGAGAAACAACACCAATGCTGACATGTGGGGACCCCACAACTGATTCACTAAGGCATCTGTGTGTTTATTTTTATTTTGTTCCTATTCAAACAACATTTAGAATAAAAGATAAACCAACTGTATTTCCCTTTGTAGAAATTTATGTGAGTGCATTCAGTGGTCAGTTACCTATCATTAGGGAAATGGGGCAGTTAACGAGACCAAGTGATTGCTTCCCTTCCTGAATTTTCTCTGTCATGATGTATTCTGTGACTGGTTGGGCAGATAGGAATGGGAAGTGGGGACAGGAACTGGCACCTACTAAAGGATCCCTTTGATGAAAGAGCTGCATAAGGTCATGTGGGGAACTGGAATGAAGATTTGAAACACGATCCCATCTTCTTGGAGGTGAAGGATGATTATACGTGTAAAATATGCTATAACACAGAGTACAATTGCTTATATGAGTAGGTCACTGGCCTTGGCTTTGTAGGAATTGCAGAATCAATGTAAGTGTTGAGAGATTAGGTTCTGGATGGATTGAAAAGGCTTTGGTGAAAAAGAAGACACCTGAGAGTTGATTACATGTTCTACACAGAATTCTTGCAGTTTACTATTACCATTAAACTACATGTGATATTACACGGAATATGCTCTGTTGCTGGAAGCTTAAAATATAGTTTGAAAAGGCAAGACGACTAGAGAAGTAAAACATATTAGGACATGATACTTATGTAGAATACCCACAAATGCATGAAAGGGACACAAAGCATGGGTAAAGGCCCAGAACAAGGGCCCTGAAGCAATTTTTATTACTGAATCAATCTGTAGAAAATCAAATGTATTTAGTCATAATTGGTTTAATTTTCAGATCACTTTTAGGTTCACAGCAAAATTGAAAATGGAAGTGCAATGTCCCCATATACTCCCTGCCCCGTACGCTCACTGCCCAGCTATCAGCAGCCCACACCAGAAACTATTTGTTTTGTATTACTTGTCCTTTTCTTCCCCCATGGTAAGGCCACTTCACATGAGATCTACCGTCTTAAATTTTGAAGCACGAAATACAATGTTAGGAAATATGTGAATAATATTCTTTCTAGACCAGCTCTCTAGAATTTATTCAGCTATGACTTAAACTTTACACCCACTGAACAGTAACTCCTCATTTTCCTCTCCTCCCCAGTCCCCGGCAACAACCATATTACTCTCTGCTTTTATGAATGTGACTACAATGGATACTCCATATCTGTAGACATGTAGTATTTGTTTTTCTTTTACTGGCTTATTTCACTTAGAGTAATGTCTTCCAGTTCATCCATGTTGTTGAATATGGCAGGATTTCCTTCTTTAAAAAGGGTGAATAGTGTTCCATTGTATGTATATCCCACCTTCACTTATAAGTCACTGAACATCAAAATTGTTTCCATATCTTGGCCATTGTGACTAATGCTGCAGGTGTTATATGCATGCTTGTGTGTGTGTGTGTATGATGAATTGTGTATAAGTGTATATATGTATTCAGAAAAATTCCATTTATATTCTTTACAAAAGAATGCTCTCAATTTCATGTCGAGGTAGAGTCAAATGACTTGCATGTTTATTTTTATTTATTCAACAGACTTCCGTGAAACACCATTTATGTTTTAGGTCTCATTTATATTAGGCGATAGAAAAGATACAAGTAAATTAGACATGGTCTAATTTAGTAGAAAAGAGAGATGAATACACAGATAATTACAGTTGAGCTGCACTGTCCAATATAATAGCTACCAGCTGTGTTCTAGTGCACTAGAGCACTTGAAATTTAGTTGGCATGCCTGAGGAACTGATCTCTTCATGCTATTAGTTTTTATTTCAACTTAAAGTTAAAAATTTGTACTTGATTCTGCTATTGGAAAACTTTCAGTTACATATAGAACAACCTAGGAAATGTATGAAGGCTTTACGTGCTGTAGACTCTTGTTTTCTAGTTGATAGGGAGTTATTTAAGGTTTTTAAGCAGAGGAATAGTAAGATCCAAATTGTATTTGAGGAAGAGAGCTCTGGTGTGAATGTGAAAGGTAAAAGGAGCGGAGGGCACACTAAATCAGGGGTGCAGGCTTAGAGGCTGATGGAATAGTTTGTGTGGGAGATGATGAAAGCCTTAATTAAGGCAGTGTGGGTGGAAGTAGAGGGCATGGGTGTGATTAGAAGTGGGAGCAGAACTAGGAAGATTGCAGTATGGGAAAGAGAGAAGGATTGTAAGGTTAAGGCAAATGTTGGTGTGTAATCTAGGTACATGCTGAATTAGGCTGCACTTGTAATTGTTCAGAGGATCAGAGACTTTTGACTGACTTGTAGCATTTTGATATTTTAAATAAACAGAAAATTTTACCACTTTAAGACATCCTCAGTTTATGGACTTAGTTTTTATAATAGAAGAAATAAAACTGTCTTTTTAATTGTTTAACACAACTATTTTAGTGGAGTATTTCAATATTTTATCAGACAGGGAGACAGCAGGTGAATGTTACTGTGGAATGTTCTACCTGTAGGGTAGGTATATTATATTTTGGCTTCATTCCTCCCTCTTGGCACTTTTGATCTCTGCATTATTTGGGGGTAATTGTGTATTACAGCAAAAGTGACACTGGAAAAGGAGTCCCTTAAAGCCTTTGAATAGAATTGTTTTGTCTCCATTGTACCATTGCTCTTGCCTTAACTAGAAAATACTTCTCTGCAATTGCCTTTCAATTTTAGAGATCCCTTGAACTGATGGAAATGGTTTGATGTACATTAGCTGGCAGATCCTAGCCAAGTAAGCCCGTATGTCCACGGACGGCTTGTGCTTACTTGGATGAAGTAGTGACAATAGAAGTAAGATTAATAAGAGTAGAAAACAAGGACAAGTGCCTGGGTGTGCACACCAAAGTAGGAAGGAAAACAGTTAAAAAATTAAAATACCTTGAAATAATGTGGCCATTGCATCATCAACTAACTCAAAATGGAGAAAATTTCACTTTAAGCCTGCAATGCCTGTCTTAGCTTGTCCAGTGTGGTGGCACATGGAGTGACCTTAGTATTTCATTTTGGGTGTGCAGAGCACAAAAGGAGAAAAGTTACTCAAAATGACCCTGAAATTTTTTATTTCTTTGCTAGGATTTTTCTTTCCTTTTCCCATAAAAGAGACAGAACTGTGTCCTCACATAGAAAGAGAACTTTCTATGTGTTAGTTGACTTTATGATCTAATTAAAATATGAAAAAGACAGTTAAAGGAAAACATTCATTTGCCTATTTCTTAGAAGGTGAGGGCAAGTGAATATAGCATAAGAAAGGATTTGAGAATGATAATCTTACTTTTCTAGAAATATATTTCTGCAGATGTAGATAAGGAATCATGTTCCTCACATGGCACGGGTTTACATAATATGGTGCCCTCTTAGCACCTCTGTCTCATGTTGTACGACCGTCATTATTTCTCCCTATGTTCTGCTACTCTGTCTTTCTGTCTCACTGTCTCTGTCTCTCTGTCTGTTTCCCTCTGTCTCTCTGTTTCTCTGTCTCTCTTCCTCCCTCCCTCCCTCTCTCCCTCTCTCTCGGTGTCTCTGTCACCTCTCTGTCAATTCCAAATAGCCCACCTGTTTCTACCTTGGGATCTTTGCTCTTTTCCCTTCCTCTACTTGGTCTTCTCTGAGTATCATGTGGCGGGATCCTTTTCATTACCTAAGCCTCAGATAAATGTGTCTTCCCACAGTCTCCGACAACCCTATTTATTTAAAGTAATTCCTTCCCCATAAACCTCTGCCCTGTCACTTCGGATCCCCTTACCCTACCTCGTCTCCTTCACTACTTAAGGACTCACATTAGAATGCAAACTATGGGAAGGTGTGGGCTGTCTATCTTTTCACTGTTGCCCCCTGAATCCCAAAAAAGGGCCCTGAGTAAAACAGATGTTCAATAAATATTTACTGACTGAATCCAACCTGAAAGTATAAACTTATTAGCTTGAATAATGTGGAGGTCTATTTCATCAATTCAGTTTGGCTAGACATCTATGGAGCACTTTTTATATTCAAGGATATATAAGTTTTTACTTTCTAGACTGGGGATATTCTTTTTTTTTAAATTTTATTTTATTGGCACAATTTAGGTATTCAATATCATGACATTCATCATTGGAAATTTGCACCTTTACATAATCCATCTTGGTTCTTATTTTTTCCCCATTGTAAAGTCTTAATTCATTTGAAATACATATATATATATATTTCTTTTATGACATTTATATAACTTTCACCAATACTGTCCTCAAAATTTCTTGTGTTCCCTATTAATTAAACACGAGTTCATTCTATGGTTAAAGGAAAAATTTGTTTTTGAGACATGATTTTTTTCTGTAGACTAACTGAATAATATATAATCTGGGCAATCCTTTTGACTTATTAGGAAATCCCTGTTGGTTTGGTTTGTTATTTCCTATAATGTATTTTACTTTGAGAGTTACTATCTTACTGGCAATTGGAGATGAGAGGCAGTCGTATGATACATCTTAGAAACTGCTGGCTTGCCTGTCCCACATAAAATATATAAAAGCCATATGATCCTTTTCTCTTTCTGACTGGAAATTCTAAAATTTTATTAGTTAAATAGTACCCCTTCCAGTGTACAGCAGGTCAAAATTACGCCAATTATTTAGTTAGAATATAAGTTTTAGCAAATCTTCACTGCTTTGCTAGTCACTGTGCAATGCCCATTCTCAAATCTAATGCAACCTATTTTCATTTGTTGCTGTGGAAACACTACATCCAGTGCCAATTTCAGTGTCAGTTACCTCCTACACAATAATTCTTCCTGTCCAACTCAGATCCTTACGCGATAATGATTTTTCCAATGCTTATATGTACATAAATGGTGTTGGTATTGCTATTTGGTAATTTCGTTGGATCTTTCCTTAGGATACAATCATATATGTAGTGATTTTTCTTGCTGTTGGCTGATAAACTGTTTCTAGAACAAACATCTCAATCTATGTCTTTCATCCTACAGTTGCTAGACCTGAGCATATTCACAAAGTTCTAAAACTGAGAAAAGAAATGTGCAAACACTTTTCTTTGTGTATTGTTTGCATAAAAATTGATACGGTCCATGGGCTGAAGAAAG